CAACCTGTGAGATCTTGTCGGTCGTTGGGAGGTATGTGGCAGGAGGCGGTCTCTCAGGTAGCCAGGTCCTCAACTTGATGATATCTGGTGGCTGTAATTGTAAGCAAATATCTTAAACCCATAGTCATGTGATCAAATCTTTGGCAACTGGCTCATATTTACGACTGCAGCAGGGGTGGGTTTCAACCGGTTCGCGGCGGTCCCTGCGAACCGGTTGGTCGGCGAACCCGGAAGTAAGTAACTTCCGGGAACGGCGAAGGGCCCGCCCGCGCGTCCGCGGTGCTTACCCGGTTTTGACGAGTTCTGCACATACAGCGCCTGCGCGATCCTCCAGGAGCAGCTGGAGCATCGCGCAGACGCTAGTACGCATGCGTGCATCGCGTGCGTGCACGAGGACACCGCCGGCCCCGTTCCAACCAAACCGGTTGGAACGGGGCGAGAAACCCACCCCTGGACTGCAGGGATTCATTTAACCGTGGCAAGAAAAAGTCATAAAACGTGGGGAAACCTCACCATCTCGCTTAGCCACAGAAACTTTGGCCTCAGTTGTGGTTGTAAGCCAAGGACTACCTATATTCTGGATAAATTCTTGAGCTTAGCTACGTCGGTCCATTTGTCGCAAGCTTGGTTCCGGGATTCTCTTTCGTGCTTTTTAATTTTTCCGTTCTTTGTTTTTTTGTCTTTTAGGTGGTGCACCTGGCTCGCAATCTCATATACTTTGGTTTTTATAGTTTCAGTGAACTACTCAGGCTGACCAGAACTCTATTGGCTATCCTCGATATTGTACAAGCGCCCATGTCATCCTACCTTGAAAGATTAAGCAAATTTCAGGATGGAGGTAAAGGGGGGCGGGGGGGGGGAAAGGGAGAAAAACAGCATCTGCAGAAAATGAAATAAAACGAAATAATCCATCTTTATCTACCATTCAATGTATTGTTTATAAATCTGAGTATGATGCACGCCTTTGCACGTAAGGGATATTTCCATGTGCTTGCAAAAAAAAAAAGAGGGAAAAGTTAGATAGGAGCTGAAGCAGATTTTACGTGTGTCACATAAACTTTGATGGCAGATTGTAGTTTTTTTTTCTGATTATATCCAACACTCTGGAAGAGAAACCTATTTGCAATTAGCTGTTGGAATTCTTGTTTTTCCACTCTTTATTTTTCAGTGGCTGAAGAGCCACTTTTAGAACTTGGGTAATTTTTGTTCTGCAAAAATTCCCAGGCTTTTTAGGGGAGGGAACGAGGGAGATAAAATAAAAAAGAAAAATCACCATAATTGCAATTTTCTATTTCACTGTAGTAGATTTTTTTTCCCAACACCTGCTCCGCGTTAATTTGAAATATAATTGCCTTCCTCTGGTAAATTTTGAAGCGTCTTATCTAAACCTGGAAAGCTTATGATTTTTGTTCTTCTTGATTGATACAGACTAGAGTTTGTGTCATGACCTGCTTCAGCGGTGAATGTTAAGATTATCTGGTTTTGTTTCCCCGTAAAATCTCTTCCCAGCTGCATTAATACAGTGTCGCATAAACGTTTAAAATAGAAAAGATTGAATTTCCCCTTAATTTAATTTCTTTTTAACTGTGGAGTGCTTCTCTTTAATGTGTGTTGTTTTTTTTTTGCATTATTCTTACAGGGTGATTTTAGTAAGACAATCATTTTCAGTTTCACACATTTCATTGAGTTGCGAAGTTGTTAAGAGACTCACAATAGATATTGGTGTTCAGTTTATTTACTGGTGTCCAAAATAAGATTTTGTTTCACCGCAGGTCCTTCAAAAGAAAACTTTGACACTGTCTGAATACGTCTCACTGGGAATTGATACCCTTTGACATCCCCATTATATTTAAATTTATTCAGTCAACGACCAGCAAATTTAGGAAGAGTGAATCAAATAATAATATTCCAAAAACTAGCTAAATAAGCTACATAGTATTTTATTACATTAATATACTTGTTACCAGATATTAAATCTAAAATTTTAAGAGGTATAAAATAAAAACAAAAACTATACATCCCCTAACTGTATATTAAAATTGTAATAAACTTAATTTATTAATTAAGATAATATATTTACCTCAAAGAGGATATACCTTGATTATGGCCATTATTCAGGGATAAAGACCTAACAATTTATTAATTAAGATAACATATTTACCTCATAGAGGATATATCTTAATATGACCATTATTCAGTGATATAGAGATAAAAATTTATTAATTAAGATAATATGTTTACCTCAAAGAGGATATACCTTGTTTATGGCCATTATTCAGTGATAAAGACCTAACAATTTATTAATTAAGATAATATATTTACCTCATAGAGGATATACCTTAATATGACTATTATTCAGTGATACAGAGATAACAATTTATTAATTAAGATAATATATTTACCTCATAGAGGATATACCTTAATATGACTATTATTCAGTGATACAGAGATAACAATTTATTAATTAAGATAATATATTTACCTCATAGAGGATATACCTTAATATGACTATTATTCAGTGATACAGAGATAACAATTTATTAATTAAGATAATATATTTACCTCATAGAGGATATACCTTAATATGACTATTA